AAGTAAATATTAATATCATATTTTAAAATAAAATGTGATTATAAAATTTGTTTGGAAAAAAGTATTTTAAATTATTAATGAGAAAAATAAATTTGTTAATGATATAAGTTTTGATGGTGTATTATTTTATATTTATAGAGCGCAAAAATATAACGAAAAATTAAAAAACAATAAAGATGAACGTTGAGAAACTAATTTTTAATGACTCGTTGACGGCTTCAAGAAATTGATATTTTTTTTTAAAAAAAGCTTTTGTAAACAAAAGAGAAGGTGGAGTAAAATTTGCATTTAGAGATCAACTTTAAATATTCTCATTTAATATAATTATTATAGCTTATATAAAAAATAAATTATATATATAAGAAGATCCTTTAAAAATCGTATATGATTCTTCATATAAAATCTTTTCTATCAATTTTCATTAAATAATAAAAACTCATTTATAATATAAAACTAGTATTGTAATTTTCACATATAACAAAATTAATAAAAAAAAATTTATAAGTTAATGTAATGACCCGACAGGTTTCTACATTTGTAATTCAATAACTAGCAATGAGAATATACATCTAACTACTTATAATTAACATGCAAGCAATATTTAGATATACATGTAATAATATATACATGTAAAAATTTCATCAACACCTAAAATAATATAGTTATATTCAAGTATACATATGTATATTAATTCAATATTAAATGTAGAATCATAGATTGTCGATCAAGTAACAACTACATCAAAGTAGTCCAAAAGATCAACACCACTATCATCCAACATGGCCTCAAAATACTCTTCCTCCAGCTTATCCCTATCCTTCTCTCATATAAATATAATCATCACAATCTAATCCACAAGAAAACATGCAAAGATAAATTAGTATTAAAGAATAATCAAAAGTGTAGAAGAATTGACTAACAATACAACAACGTGACTTAAACAACTTAGCATACACCAACCATTATTCACTTGCAATCCAACTACACAACACAACAACATTTTTCAACTTGAACAACACAACATTTCAACTTATCCACATAACAATAGAGCATATACACAACACAACTCAACAGTTCAACCATATATACTCAACATAACAACTACATGTGTCGTTATGCATTCAATTAAGAGATCTCTTACAATACAAGTAAGTAGTCTAAGTAGCTTGACCCTATTGAACTAGATAATAACACGATTTTTTTAGACTAGCTAAATCAATAGCTAATTTGGATAAAATCCACAACACAACATAGTTTCTCATATTTGTCACTTAAATTAGGAAAATCTAATATTCCTATTAGGGTGAAATATTTTAGGTGTGAGCCTACCACGACCTTAACATGCATAACTAAACCTTCTATGAGATTAGTTCATTTACTACCCTCCAAATACTACACCCCTTTCAGTACTTAGTTAGGGACTATAGCTCTTAACCTTGTACCTTGCTTAGTTTGGTCGCTTTATACACATATGATTCAACCTGGCCCCCATACGAATCAACATTTTTTTGTTGCTTTATAATCAATATAATTCGACCTAATCCTTATATTATGGTCACTTATAGATAGTATGACTCAACCTTGCCCCCATACCCATCAACTAAGATTCTATAAAAGACTCAATAGTTTGCTTTAAGAGTCAATTTCCTAAGAAGGATTTTCAACAACTTTACTTGTAGAGAACCATAACAAAATATCCTCACACTGAGATATTCAACTTTTAAAACAATCTTTCCTCTAGTCTTAAGTTAATCAACATAACTCAACATAATGCCTTAAGTATTCTTAACACAACCACCTTAGCATTTCAACATACAACTCAATTTACAACTCTCAATAGTTCAATCATCAATATACTTTATCCTAGATCAATTATAAAAAATTATCATCATATATCAACATATAACATGTGAGGGATTCAACTATCACATAAATGTTCAACACTTGGTCAATAATTCAACACATTTTCATTAGGCAACCTACACCTGGTGCTATTCTCCTCATGCCTAACGTCATTGAGGTAGAGTCTCTAGTTTGGCCACGCCTAGCATGAATGAGGTAGAGAGTCTTTATGGAAATCATGCTTGGTGTGGCCAAATCCATTCTCGACCTCATTTAGGCAAAAAGTCTCTACTTAACTCATGATTGATGTCATTACACTAGCACCAGGTGTCATCTAGGCATAAAACCTCTGTCTTGATCATGTCTGGCGCCACTCAACTTGGGGCCCAAAGTCACCAAGTTAAAGAGCTCCAAAGGCATCCAAACTCGATGTCATTCAACTCATGTCCGACATGACCAAGTCAGAGAGCTCTTCTCTAACTCACGCCCAAGGCTACCAATCCTGCATCTAGTGTCAATGAAGTAGAGAACCTTTGACTTGCATTACACCCAATGCCTTGAAGTTGTGCATAATGCGATGGTGATTTATACACTTGGAAAAATCACGAATTCGGCCTTCTTCATCCAAAAATTATAAAATATAAGCATGCAATGGTAGTAAACATACCTGCATAAAACAAAGCAACTCAATTCCAACCACTATAACAACATGCAACCAAGAAATGATCACAACTCACCAAAATCTTCCCAACATGCTTAAGAACCTTAAAACCCCACAACACAAGAATAAAAATTCAAATCATCCACGCAACCACAATTTCATGGAATCAAACAACATACTACTTAGACAATCCAAAAAAATTCAAGTTGTAGCTTCCCTTACCTCTAAATCCGAGAGAAAAAGGGAAGGAGGAAGAAGAAAATAAGCTCTTCCAAGAAGCTTCGCACAACACGTAGGAATTTTGATTCGAAACTCTCCAAACTTGAATCTAAGCTTTACAACTCCACTCATCCTTGGGAAGGGACCAGAGGTCAATTATGGAATCAAAAGGAAGTAAGGTCAGTTATGGTTCAAAGTTCCTCTCTTTAGACTCTTTTTCTAAGTTTTTTAAGAAATAAACTTATGAAGCTCAAGTTTTAAAGAAAATCTTATACATCTTCTTCTAACAGGCCAAACATAACCTCTACTTAGACAAACTCCTAAACGATTAAACTTATTAGAATTTCTAAATCCTTAGAGTCTCACACACTATGCAACTAGTTACAACAACCAATTAAATCAATAATCCAACAATCATTAAATAAAACATATAATGTTATAGTTAAAATACATTTTTAGTCATTGTAATTTCACTTTACTTTTTAGTTCTTATAGTTTAAAATAGACATTTTTAGTCTCTATACTTATCCTTTTCAATCCTTTGTAGTCTCTATAGTTTAAGATAGATTTTTTTAATCCTTATACTTGTAATTTTTAATCTTTTTAGCCGTTGTTGTTATTTTTTTTTTGTAATATTGTCTCTTTTGTATTAATATGATAGATGTATCAATTTAACTTTTGTATACTTGATGTCAAATTTATTTTGCTATAATTACTTTAAATTAGGTATCTTGAAACTTTGTGCCTCTTTTATACTGTTACTTGTGATGTCCATTATTGAGACATCCTTTTTTTATTCTCACAAAATTAAAAATCTTTACCACGTGAACACAAAAGAGATAACATTATAAAAAAAAAACAAAAATAGAGATAAAAAGGATTAAAAAATTACAAATATAAGAACTAAAAAGATCTATCTTAAATTATAGTGACTAAAAAGGATTAAAAAAATAAGTATGCGAATTAAAAGATAAAATACGTAAAATTGTAGAGACCTAAAAAAGTATTTTAACATTTTTCTTATAAAATATGACAAATTTTATTTTATTTATAAGTGATACGATTTTTCATATATTTTATTTTTTTCTTCTTCTAATTATCCAAAAATTTATTTTTAAAAACTTTTCCTACTTGCAAAATATCTATTCAAGATTGTTCAAACTCTCTAATTTTTACACTTAGATATATTTAATTGGCTTAAATATGTTTTTAGTCCCTCAAATTTAGGGTAAATATATTTTTGGTCCCTTAAATTTAAAATCGTTGTTTTTAGTCCTTGTAATTTCAAAAAATCTTATTTTAGTCCTTATATTCAAATTTTGTTAAAAAATTTATCAAACATTATTGCATAAAATCTACCTATTCATGTCCCTATTAGTGAAAATATCACATTAAATCCGGTTAATATTGCATAACTGTCTTAATTAGTCATTTTCAAATATGTTATTGGTGACTTAAGGGAGTAAAACAAGATTTTTGAAAATTACAGGGACTAAAAACAACAGTTTTAAATTTGAGGGACCAAAAACAAATTTTTCTTAAATTTGAGGGACTAAAAACATATTTAAGCCTATTTAATTTTATTTATTTTTATCATTTTTAAAACAAAATACACAGTCATGAAATATCTTTTTTTTCACTAATATAACTAAAATTTATAATAAATAAATATTTATCATATAAATTATATTTTAAATTTATAATAAATAATTTATATCATAATATAAATTTATTTTTAAATATTGATAATTTCTTTTGAGATATTGAATTTAATTTAAAAATAAAAAATTAATTGATTAAAAAATATTAAAATTAAAAAGTCTCTAAAAGTATCTTCGTTGATAGAAGCTAAGAAAAAACACTTGATAAGTTAAATAATAATTTCTAAAAATGCTCATATTCATAATATTTTTAATTTATATATAGAGAAGATAAATAAATTATTATTCTTTTGTTTAAAAATATTTTTGTTTAATAATTGGAGGGATATCTTAGGGAATAGTAGTGAAAAATGAAAACGGATCTAAGACTAAGATCATAAAAGGCAATCGATAACATTATCTTGCCACTTAATTCAACCGTTCAAAAGAGAAAATTATGGCATATTTTCAATATTCTTGGAAATGACCAAATAATAACAAAACCTATCAAGTCTTTTGCCGTTAGCCTAACACTTCTAGAACTAGAAGGTAGCAAGCAAAGCAATTTCCAACCTGAAATCAAATCAAATCAAATCCAATCAAATAAATTCTTAACTCTTAACAGAAACAAATAAATAAATATCTGAAAGAAAGAAATAAAGCAACATTTGTTGGTGAAACAAAGAGAGAGAGAGAGATAAATAGCAAAGTGGATGTTCCTTCTTCCACTCTCACTCACTCCACTTCGCAGCGTCGTTTCCCCACACCCTTCTGTTCAAAGTTGGAATTTTTGGAGCGATTCCGTGGTGGGTATGAGTTCATAGGTGTTCTCTTTGAGTAAATAGTTTTGGGTGATGATGGAGTTGGGGGGTTCGATGGTGATCGGGGATTACATAGTGGGTCCTCGAATCGGGTCGGGTTCGTTCGCGGTGGTGTGGCGTTCAAGGCATCGAATTTCGGGTTTGGAGGTTGCGGTTAAGGAGATTGATAAGAGACAACTCAGTCCCAAAGTCAGAGAAAATCTTCTCAAAGAGATTTCTATCCTCAGCACCATCAATCACCCCAACATCATTCGACTCTTCGAGACAATTCAGGTAACGTTTCTTAGTTAGTTGCTTACATAGATAGGTCATGATTTTGTATCAATGGAGGTTCAAATTTGTATTAGAAAAGGTGTTCATAATGTTTGGAGTTTTATTATTTATAAAGGAGGATATTTGTGGAGAATTAAAAATAAAGTAATGGTTTTTACTTTTTGTTGTTGTTGTGGTTTAAGACCAATGACAGGATTTACCTTGTTTTGGAGTATTGTGCTGGTGGGGACCTCGCTGCTTACATTCATCGCTATGGCAGAGTTTCTGAGCCCGTTGCACGCCATTTCATGAGGCAATTGGGTCAGTGAGTGCACTTCACTTCAATCGCTTGTTGTTTTCTATGGAGTGGAGTGAATTTTATATTTCTGAAACCTATGTGCTAGTTTCCATCTTTTGGTGTGGATTAATTTGGTAATTTTTGGTTGTTTACTAATTATTTTGTAGGTATGTTGTTACCAATTATTTTAATGTTTACTGATTAAATTAGGTTTTTCCAATTCTTTTGTGTTTAGTGAATGGTTAGTTAGGTAGTTTTGCTCTTTCAAACTTGGCTACTCTCTTTCATCCTGTGCCTTGCTATTCTATGTGCTGAATTTCTTATGCGAATTGGTTTGTGATGTGTAAATTTCGATTGTTTTTAATGTGGCTGTTCTTGTAGCTGCTGGGTTGCAGGTACTTCAAGAAAAGAACCTCATTCATAGAGACTTAAAACCACAGGTATCTGAGTGTATTTTGTGAGGTTATAAACTTTTCATGGCACTTATTTGTTTGAATTGGTAGTTTTAATTAATTGTCACTGTCAATGATTGCATCTTGTTGGGAAATTCTGTTTCTTCTTTACCCAGATAGTGTATAAAAGTGCATGCAAGTAGAAGGACTTCTTAGTAATAACCTTTCACGCTATTTTTTTTCCATCTGGAGAGGGGGGATGTTTGCTGGTAAATTGCTAAGTTACTGGAGTACTGGAAGAATAAATTAGTTACAAGATTTCCATTTTATAAAGTTTGGATGACCCTCAACTTTTGGAACCACTCTTTTTAGAAATGATGATATCACTTTGTTTTAAATTATAAATTGGTATAATTAACTCCTTTTGAACCCATTAATTCTTTTAGTTATTATTGCATCCATAGTAATTCATTCATTATGTCTTTGATTATTTCCCCCTAAACATGCAGAATTTACTATTGGCAACGACTGCAGCTACACCGGTTATGAAAATAGGGGATTTTGGTTTTGCAAGGTAGGATGACATCTCGGGACATTCAATAACGCAAACAATTTTTTCCCCTTTATTGCTGTATAAGCTGGATTGACTTTTTACTTGCTTTTTTTTTTCCTTTTTCGGTGAACATGTTATTTCTTGCTCATTGGGTAGTATAGTTCATAGCATTAGTAGTTAATAAACTGATTTACTTGACACTAGGCCACCTTATAAGCAATGTCATTGCTTGTAGATGCTTACTTGATATCAGCTCTATGTAGTATGTAATATCTCTTTTAGTTTTATATGAAAAATATTCAAATGGCCTGTCATGTTTGGTAATTTTTATCTTCAATCTGGTTGAACAATAAGATAATAGAAAAAAGTTTTGTATTTCTTGCATTTGGTAGTTTCCTGATGTATTGTTGTATTAGGTCTCTAACACCCCAGGGATTGGCTGATACACTATGTGGTTCACCCTATTACATGGCTCCAGAGATAATTGAAAATCAAAAGTATGATGCCAAGGTGATAAAAGAGAACTTAGATCAAATTGTAATTACTCATATCTGTTCCCGTTTTCATTGTAAAACTATAAAGCCATATTATTATGGATGCAGGCTGATTTATGGAGTGTTGGGGCAATATTGTATCAACTAGTTATTGGGAGGCCACCATTTGATGGAAATAGTCAATTGCAGGTTTTGAAGAGGCTAAACAATAATATTTTTTTTTTTTATCCTTTTTAAATAGGGTAGATGATAATTATGTATCTTTGGTTCTCTCTCTTTTTGGTAAATAAGTTATGTATCTTTCTTTTCCCTAAAACATCATTTTTGGTTGCAGCTTTTTCAAAATATTTTGGCATCTACTGAACTGCACTTTCCATCAGAGGCATTAAATGAGCTACATTCTGATTGCTTGGATCTTTGCAGAAATCTTTTACGTCGAAATCCAGGTATTTATTGCAACTATATGTCATGGACATTTGAGTATGTTTATTCTGCTGTACTGCTTTGTGAATGTGTAAAGGGGGGATGAGTCTGAGGTTGAAATTATCGTACATATAATTTTTTATAACAGTTAGAACTTATTTAGAGAGCTTCTGTAAAGTTAGACTTGTAATATGCAGATGAGAGATTAACATTCAAGGCATTCTTCAATCACAGTTTCCTACAGGAACCCAGGTCATAATCTTTTTTAATTTCTTTTTTTCTTAAGATCATGTATCCCTGTGGCATTTTCTTTCCATGTCGTAGCTATTTGAGTTATATCTTGTAATTCATAATATATAGGCCCACCATGAATGTTGAGCAGCTTCAATTTCATCTATCAGAAAGAGTGACAGTTCATCAATTAGGTGGCTCTGCCTCCAAGAAGATGTCTCAATCACATTCTAAGTATCATGTTGAGTCATCTATAGATGATCCAGCTGTAGTCAGTTCAGCTGTCAATGAAACAATGCCATTGCAAAGAAAAGATGGCAAGATTACTGCTGGCACTGAGAGTGTTAAAGTGTCAACTCCAACTATTGCAAGTGATAATCTGGGGAAGACTGTTGATGCTGGTGCTCATTTGCCAAACCAACCTCGAGGTTTAGTCTCTGATTAGTGATTACTGTGTAGTAATTTTTGCATTGTTTCTCACCTGTTATTTTCTTTTCAATTTCTAATCCTTGCTTTTCTACTCAGTTTCCCGTTTAATGGAGTCCATTGAGAAAGATTATGTCCTTGTCAATTCCCATTTTGCTTCATTGGAGGCATTCTCTGACTACTATGAGGCATCTGTGCAAGATAATTCACGCAGGATCTCCATGTTTCCGTCAAAGAGGTCTAACCTGGTGATTGGAGTTGCAAATCAAACAAAGGGTCTGTCCTCTTCCTCCACTGAAGGATTAGAAAATTTAAATAGTAGGAAACTTGAGGCATGTGTGGCATCCTGTGAATTTGCTGCCTCAAGGGAAGAGCAGGGAATTTCCTCATTACACCCTTCAAACAGATTAGAGTTTTTGCATCAGTATGTGTATATCCTTGCTGAACTTTCACAAGAAAAGGTAAGTTTGTGTCTGGTAAACCAAAGGTCATTGTGTTAATATTTTATTGATTAGTTTTAAAATTTTAAATGAATGCGTAAATTATCATCGTTGACTTTGTTCCCAACATCCCATCTAACTAGAGTTTTTTGTTCCTTTGCATTTTTTTTTCTTCTGTTCTTTTCTGTGTCATAGGGTGTTATATTCCATGTTGCATTGCACGTTGATAAACCAGCTGTGTTGAAAGAATTCTTTTACCTAATTAATTTGTAATTTCCAACTGGATTCTTTTGTTTTCTGTGGCTTGCTAAAGTATGGTGGGTGTATACTACTTGGTAGTATACTAATACTATTGGCTGGATGCTTAATCTGTCTATATTTTTTCTATTATCAGATGTTAAATTCTGGGGGTTGTGTCAAACCATTTCAATGAAAAAAAATGTGGCATACTCGCTTATTCCCAATATATCTTTCTGTCACTGCATTTCCCCATCTCATTTTGTCAGCTAATTTTAACGGTTATTTGGTGCAGTATAATAAAGGACTGTTTCTAGAGTCGCTTGCAGTTGAGTTGGTGGTTTTGGCTATATGGAAGAAGGCTCTAGAAATTTGTAGTTCTTGGCTGGCCTCCATTGCTAAGAGTGAGTTTCCTGGAAGCAGTTCAGCTAATGAGTCCATATCTGCCAGTGAAGTGGACTTACCACAGACTACAGAACAGAAAATAAATTTCAGTGATCCTGCATCTATCTCCCTGTGGGCCAAACATGAGTTTATTGTTGCGGTTGATCGTGCTGAGAAACTATCATGTCATATTCAAAATATGGATGGTAAGACTTCTTTGTTTCTGAGCTTAATCTTTTCATATCATCTAAAGAATTTATCTTAATTATGTACTCCAAATATATATTGCAGGGGCATCTGAGATGCCAGATGCAATGGAAATTATATTCCAAAAGGCTCTCCTAATCGGGACAAGTGGTTGTGTAAGTAGTCCAATATTGTTCATTTTAAATTTATTTTCCCAATATTCTAGTCCTCCTCAGGGGCATAGACATAAAGAGGTCATTATTACAAATTAATCAGTAATTGCCTGAATAGTTTTTTTACTTTTTTGTTTTGCCATTTTTCTAGGTAGATGAATATATGGAGAACAGAGATAGGGCTGCTGCATCTTACTCAAAAGCGATGCTTCTACTTTCATTTATTGTGGGAGAAGCAGAGAACCTTCCGCTGAACCCGCCATTTTCACTTATTGACACTAATAAGGAGCGAATCTTACAATATATTCACAGATTGCAGTCTCGGAAAAAATCTTCATTAGAGTCCTCTTCAAAGAAAGCACATACACTTTTATCAAAGTAAATAACCGGTTTTTATAGTTTGTCTTTGCATCACCACTTTTGGAATCGGTGAAGCAATTTGTTGCTGACATGAATGTTGACTTCCTATGAGTCTGGACGAGAGGCAACCTTTGACAGATTTGTATATAGACATATATAACCTATCACGGCCTTGTAAAGGGGACTTTGCCTTTACTGCATGATTTTATGTATATATTTTTAATTCTTTGATATGAAATTTGTAAATAGTGTACAGCTCATAGTACTGTACAATTTTGAAACCACTATATGATCAATGAATTGAAATTCCTCGGTGGAAGTTTTATTTGAATTTTACTTCCTGCAAAATATTTCTCGATTTTTCAGCAAATCTGATTCAGATGTACAGCGGGAATATTCAATTGCCTAGGGGTTGCAGTGTAAGGCTTTGAAACAATTGTGGAAAGGATTTCAAAAACAGGATGACTGCTGGGTTCTTTCAATGAAAATTGTCTTAATTTCATTACTGTAATAAATCAATATAAATCATATCTAGCTAGTTACTTTCAAATTTTGGATGACTGGTGTTTTGTTTTTTGAATGAAAATTGTCATAATTTCAGTACTGTATGTTCCAAAAGCATAGTTGGAACCTATTTGTTTGTCTTTATTTCCCATCACAGCCGTTCTAATCTGGTTTCTTAAATGTACACCAAGTAAAAGGAAGAAATTTTTCCCTTGGCAAAACGACTGTGGTAGTGGAAATACAAACTGGCTCAATTACCAATAGCAATTTAAATGCGTTGATATTTCAATATTTATGACTGATTTTCGTTTCAAGTAAGAATTTGATGAAAAATAACTATTGCGAACTGTACTGATAAATAATAAATCATAAAAAAGAAATTTAGCATCGAGAATCATGATAACACAAGTCCATAACTCCATCAAAGATGCAGACAAACTTCAAAGTTTAAAAAAAGAAAAAAAGTTATGATACACGTACAATAATTTGAGTAACATCATTCTTTATGCTTATGCTTTCCATCAATAATCTATGTAATACATGATACAATGGAGAGATAGACAAAAAATGTTATACAAATTTGTTGTACAAGTATCATTTTCCAAAGGAAAATAAATCACTTTCTGTACATTCAATGTAATGCATCCATTACATCAAAAAACAAACAGGAGGTAGTACGAGAAAATTCGGTTCAGCCTGGGCAGAGTTGGTAAAAGAAAAAATAGTTCATAGATTGATGTAAAACAATTACAAGTAAAACGTGGAAAGAGGCTGAATAATGGATCATAAATTACTTAATGTTCAGGGTTCAAACAATACTTAATGTTTCTTATCTATGTCTATTTAGCGGAGTTCTTAACAGCATTATCAGTCCAAGATAGTAAAACAGCGTACACAGTAATTTAATATGGTACACACATCTACACGACAAGTTTCGTGAGCTGCAGAATTAGAAATAAACAATATAGGTACACCGTTGAGGGGGATTAAGAAATGATATGCAAAAACCAAAAGTTGCCTTTATGTTATTGCATGCATATATCAAACCTCAAGTCGAAGTCTCCCCCCCTTCCAAACGTATTCTCTTACAACCTTTCTCTTCACCTTGATTGCTGGCCGCTCCAACCCTATTTTCCTTGGCCTCCATAGAACATCTTTTGTAGGGTTTAAAGCCTGTTCGACGAGTCTTAAGCTTTCCTTGTCCAAGCCCTATGGTCAGCAGCAGTCCCTCGTTATTTTCTATAAATGGCGAATCTTTCTGCATTTCTTCGTAATTATAACTGCATTTTTTGCTGTCAAGGTCTTCAGCCTTTTCATCTATGTTTTGCTGGTTATCCTTGATGTCCATTTGATGATCCTTATTCTTCAAAGCATGAGGAGGTGAAAAGCTTTGAGGCAACACCTCTCTGGAGAATAGAGCCTGAAAGGCCAATCTCCCCTGAAAACAAGTGTCATGAGAAGAGAAGAACACATGCAAGCATTGTATTAAAATTTCATTACAAGTAACTGGGATACCTCTTCAGAGACCTCTTTCCAAGAATCAGTAAGGTTGCTAATGCTTCTACGACGATTACAAGAATCAATAGCTAAATGGTTAGCATCATTTGCTTCGGGCTCTTCCTTCCCTTTCTCATCCTTTTCTAGTGCATCAGTTTCCACATCGCTGCTAGAGGCTGTGTTGGAACCACATGAGGAACGGTCAACCTGTTTTTTGCCCTTCGTTTTGCTTGAATCAAGGTGCTCGGAAACTGTTTTGTTCGTCTCATGATCAGTAGCCTTTGGTGAAGTATTTAACTTGGCATCTGCACTCTCAGAATCTGATGAAATGACAGCTGGTGACTTTGAAGGTGAATGTTGAGCTTCTGAGCATTCTGGATCCAGCATCTGATCTTGCAGAGGATGATTTTGTAGAGTAGCCTTTTCTTGTTTTGTATTCAGGGACGGTGCTTCACCGTTATTCATTGATGGAGCTGCAGTCACTGATGCAGGAGGACAGGCAAAAGCAGTATGAAGAGGAGTGCACAAGGGAAGCAATCCATGAGCTGCCCACCAGGCAGTTGCAGCAGCTACAGTAGCAGCTGCAATAGCTGCTACGCTTGGAGGAGAGCCAATTTGTCTAGAAGTAAAACCTCCTTGGGAGCAGCTAGGAGAATCTGCTGGAGTTTCTGGATTTGCATAGGGCCAAAATGTAGCGGCTAAACTTGCTGCAGCATGAGCTGCTGGGTTTTGCATCAGAGTAGAGACAATAAGATTTGAAAATGTGGAAGACATGTGAAGAAATGATTGGTAATCGTCTTGGCTGTGTTGTGTGAAGGGAGCACAAGGAAGAAATGATTGATGAACAGAAGATCGTGCTGTGTTATTTTGACTTTCACTTGTGTTCGATGCACCTGAATTGGTGAAAAGATTCGGTTGGCCATTAACCCCTCCTATTGGCTGAAACATGGAGTCTCGAAACAACATATCTTTTGATGGATTTTGACTTTGAGCACTTGTTCCAAGGTTCCCGTCAACAACGTGCACAGTAACATGTCTAGGGTAATTCTGATTGCCTTGCATTCCCTCTATCGTTAATGCACAATCAAGACCATCTGTTTTCTCACTTTGAATCAATTTCATTCGTACAGCATCAGAATTCTCTAACGTGGGGCCTTTACTAGTGACATTAGTTTGTTTTCCATCATTGATCTCCAACTTCCCATTTTCAAGTTCAATAGTGACAAAAGATTCAGTTTTTCCATCTCGTGCTATTACCTCTGTAACTGAAGGTGTAATCTCCTTTAAGGCGCATGAATTTCCCAGTGGCATTGACATTGTTATTGAACTCTTGTTTGCTGAAGATACAGAGGAACAGGGTACCTCCTGGAGAAGAGTAAATGCATTTGAGCGGTTTTCATCCTTATTTTCTTTTACAGTTGTTGGCCCTTCGTCTGAATCATGTTTCTAATAAAATAAGGAATGTGCCGAATTATTTCACCGATAGAGGAAACTAAAAAAAATGTGAAATTGGAATATATATATATATATATATAAAAGTAAATCAATAAATTATTAACCTCCGGAAATGGTTCTTTTTCCAAGTCCAGTTCTTGGTTGACATGTGAAGATTCAACTAAATTGAGTTTTCCATCCTTTGCTCCACTATGTAATGTTGCGGTACCAATCTTGGTCTTCCGAGGATAAGGATTGCTTGGTTTTCTTTTGGGCCGTGGAGGGGGAATGTGTATATCAAGAGCTTGTCCAATTGGAACACCCTTTACAAGGGCCTCTTTCTCCAACTGGAAGTAAAAGTCCAAATAGTATTTTCAGCAAGTGAAGTTTCAGAAAATCCAGTAAAAGCACTTACTGTAGCAGCAGTGCATTTGTTCTAATGCAGAATTTCCAAAATACATTTTGGAAAACAGAAATAGCTGTAACCCAGACATTGCAGTATATTCAAGCATGGAAGCATAAAAAAGAAAGCATCCAGAAATATTCTTCAATCAAGTTGGGGGAAAAATCAACCGTGGATGTAATCAAGTTGCATATGCATATACTGGACTGGAAACTGATTGTTGGGCACAAACACTGCCAAGGGATTTTGACAAGTTCAGCTTAAAGACTAGTTTATGATCTTAGAGAGCATGCACAAAAGATGTACTAAATCTTTCACTTTCAAGGAAATTAATCCCAAATGTTTAAATAAAAAGTTATTTTTTTATTATGATGGCGGTTAGAGCTTCAGAAAATCAAAATTATTTTTTCTAATCAGTAGAAAAGCAATCAAGGGTTCTGAACAAGCTGGTTCTTTTCGTCATGGTATCTTTGGAGCTTCCTAGGTAACTAGAGTCGTCCTATGTAGATGCTATTTTGCATTATGTCATTTCTAAAAACTAAAATGTCGTTATATTTTATAAAAACATTTACCAGCACACGTTTTAAGACCTATTACATTTCTTTTATCCCATCCAGTCGTTCTTATTGCATATAAATCTATGTCATGCTTCACTCATATGCCAAGTGCTAGATCGATAAAGCGGGTAACCATAAAATAGTTCCAACTTCGACCAACCCCAACAGCATCTCATCACTACATTTCTCTCCTTTAAAATTGTGTCTTCTTTCATTCAGTCACTTCTCTCATGTAACGCAAAAAAGCATATTACTTCCTCTAAGTGACGGTTAGATTCTTTTCCATCGAAAGATTGAAACAGCAGCAAGTATCTCCTAGAATTGAATATATCAAAATCTTAGCTTGAATTGATACAGTTCTTTCCTAAACTTGATTGCATATCCTAGATCAATACATGAAAATTTATTGTTTTCCCTTCCATTTTCTCCCTATAAACTAGTGACATTGACTTGTTCAAATCCTCCTAACGTTGTACGAAAGTTGAATAGCAGATAAAGATAAATAAATACCTATTTATCGGAGCAACCTAAATGGCAAATCATCAAATTGTACAGAAAAAAGGAAAAGGTTTATTGATTCTGTCAAAGATCAAAAGAAAAAAGAAAAGAATAACCCAAGCAACATTCTCTTCTATATTATCAATGACTAAAATATCTTCAGGAGATATGTTCTATGCTCAAAAAGGACAAACATAAAACTCTACACATCAGATCTGGGGGAAGATACACAATACAGCTGCCTTTGAACCCTAAGAGCCTTGCAAATAAACGAAGTTATTATGTCAAGAAATGGTACGCATCCCCCGTGTAACATGCACAGAAGTACGTAAACTAGAAAACCAAATTAGACTATGATCCACGTCAGTTAAGGGTATGATCAAAGTACTCTTCATAAATGCCTCAAGTAATCCTCACTTCCGGTGTTAACTTTTGGGGTTGAGTTACCGAATTCATTAATTCTAATACATTGAATAAAATCTTCTATCAGGTTCTATTCTAACGTGACTATCAAATGCTCTTTACTTATTTATTTTATTATAAAGTATAAAGATAAGTTTTGACTTGGCCAACCAAAAGGCTGGTTGTTTTTCACATAACATATAACAAGAAAATTATACAGATTAGTAGCCTTTGCCTATAACACTTAAACAGATCACTCTTGTTTCTGTGGTAATCCAATATCTCTCCAGAGGTTAGCAACGTTATATGTGAAAGCAATGTTCAAGCCTTGGATTGGTTCTTTCGGTCATTCTTGTTCACAGAAATATTCCAAAAGTCATTTCAAGAAGTTTCTCAGTTTGGAAGTAATTTATAGATCCCAGAGTAGGGATAATAATCATTTATTTATTTCTAATTCTAAAAATTAAAAACTTTGATCGAGCCCAGTAGAGTGTAGCATTAGTAACAACAAGACCTACTATCAGGCCATTCAAATACACGCTTATGGTAAAGGTTGCCAAGAGAAAGCCTCTCAGCAATAAGGGAAAGAGAC